AGCAGTTACCTTTAAAGTAAATTTGCCTCTCCCTGTCTGGGTGTGGCCTGTTTCACGAGGATTACTCAGACATGGATGAATCCAGTGAATGCTTGATTTAGATGTAGAAATAGCATTATAACACCGGTAAAAGCTTATAACATTTCAATTTGCATAATACATTCCCTTTAAAAGCCTCAAAAATGATTTTGCATCATATAGACCTGTCAACTGATGCCAGATTTCAGAGAGTGGCACAGGGAACTATAAAGGAAGAAGGAATGTAATTGGAAAGGGTATTGGTATTAATAATGATAACGGTAAGGAAAGGATGGCTTTCACGTTAAGGTAATGATCCTTATCTCACATCATAAAACATAATCAACCTTGTAGCAGAGCCATTATTAATGTTAGCCATGGATGGTTAAAAGAGACTTTAACATTATGCTGAATAAGAGCAGTGCAAGAAAGTAAAGGCATTTGGGAGAAGTGGGAACATTTTGCATGAAGAATGAGATTCTTACATCACTTTGAAAAGCTTTTTAAATGAGGATACTTGCAGAGGGGCAACTTATAACACGATGACTTAGTTATGTAACACAAAGGAGATTAAAAAGTGACTTAGGAATCTGGTCAGCATACCTCTTCTTATTCTGTGATCTGAAATGTATAATTTATTTTTGCAATCTTCTTTAAATGAGTTCATAGGGATGCAGCAGGTTGTTATGGAGCCATTTAATGTTCTATTGGACCCACTAATTTAAAAAGAAGACTATGGGAGGAAGGATGCAGCTGCTTTTCGTGTCTCTGCTTCTGTCTCCTTGAACCCCAGTTGGCCTCGGCAGATGGCCGCTCACTCTAAGTCTGGTTCTGCTGGAGGGTTACTTCCTGTTAAAAGGGAGTTTTTCCTCTCCACTGTCGCTACAAGCATGCTTAGTGTGAGGGATTGTATTTGAGTCAATGAGTCGATGCAATCAACTGGTTTTCCTTAGATAGAAAACTTTGAATCAATTTAACTGTATGAGCTGGTTGAACTGTAAAGTGCCTTGAGATGACATGTGTTGTGAATTTGGCGCTATATAAATAAACTGAATTGAATTGAAGATGTAATGCCACTCATGCAAAAGGTGTATATTTACAAAAGCCATGGATTGCATTCATCGAGACTTTTAATTAAATTCAATTCTTGATTCAAATGTTTCCATTCACACATCTTCACTCTGTGCTGCATATTGTTTAAAGCCAATGTGTTTTGAACCGTCCAAACTAAGTGGTTTCCTTCTGTTGTTATGAAGCAGTGAGTATATTGCTTCAGGGAGTATAATTAATTCATTTCAACTTGCCACATTTGTCACAAGTGATTTCCACTGGGATTTTAAAACACACAGTGATTTCCACTCAGAGCAACAGGTGTCCTTTTAAGTGATGGAAATAATCCTCTAATGTGGACACTTTGACTTTTAAATATATTAGATTATAGTTTCACAGTCATCAATTATGTATAAATTATATTACAAAAGATAATAAAGTATTCAAGTGTTTGTGACAGTAAAGTATACCAAACTGAAAGGGAAATGCAATTTAAAATGGGTTTTGTATGGGTTTTTTCTTCATCCACTTGACTAAATTTCTTGCTTAATTGTTTTAGTTTGCAAATGCTTCCGGCCAAATGTCCTGCAAGTGAATTACCTGAGAATTATCAAGGCTCTTTTGGTCTTGAGTCTGCTTGCTCAGAATGCTAACAACACTGCCATAGTATTAGTATCCACTGTATTTGGAAAATTGAATGCATCATATTGGTCAACACAACACACATTTGATTAGATCCGCTCATAGTAGTAAATGATTGTGTAAATATGGGTATGAAATTTACACATTTCTGTGAAACTGAAAAAGTACATACTAGTCTAAATTAAACTGAGACACTTTTTCCTTACTGCTCTAAATAAAATTCCTGTACAAAAAATGTATTTGTATAGCACAATTCAGTACAAAGACAATGCAAAGTGCTTTACATGATTAAAATACAAGAAGATAAAACAGAATCAAAGCAAGTAGGAAAAAATAAATAAATAAAAAATGCAAAAACAAAAAAGAATATTTAAAACAGTTGGACTAAAGAAAATATGTTTCAGTTGAACTGTTTAACTAGAACAGTCGAAGGCAATCCTAAACAAATGTGTTTTTAGTCTTGATTTAATGGAACTCAGGCTTTCCGCACTTTTACAGTTTTCTGGAAGTTTGTTCCAGAAAAGTGGAGCATAGGAACTAAATGCTGCTTCTCCATGTTTAGTTCTGGTTCTAGGTATGCAGAGCAGGCTGGAGCCAGAAGACCTGAGTGGTCTGGAGGGTTGATAGGGCAAGTTACAGTTGCTATATCCTCCACTATAAACTTTAAACTAATAACATTTAAACTAATAATACCTCAGTTAGCAGTTTAACTTAAACAGCAACAGTAGTTGTAAACATAGGGGTTTTTAACTGACTTAAAAGAACTCAGGTTTTCAGCACTTTTCCCTTTCTGGGAGTTTGGTCCAGATAAATAGAGCAAAGGAACTAAATGCTGCTTCTCCATGTCACGTTCTAGTTCTGGGTGAACAGAGTAGGCTTGAACTAGAAGACCTGAGTGTTGAAGTTGATACACTGACAACAGATCTGCCATGTATTGAGGTGCTGATCCAATCAGTGATTTATAGACTTAAAGGAAGGATTTTGAAGTCTGTTCTCTGAGCAACAGGGAGACAGTGGAAGGACTTCAGAACGGGGCTGATGTGCTCTACTTCCTTAGTTCTAGTGAGAACACTCTCAGCCTTCTTATCGTAGCTTCTTCCTTACTGCCAGAATTATTCAGATAACACTTATTATGGCAACCACTGACTCACTTCTGCCTTTGCTTAACACGTATGTGGTGCTTTAAATGCAATCCCATACTAAAACAATGAGGGTTACTGTCCGTCATTACGGTTTTAACGTACTTGGTAGGCTAGAACCTCTCAAGGTTTAAAGAACAGTAGCTGATTTAATTTATTCTTTTTTCTGACATTTTTTGTGGTTTTATTGTGGCCAGTCAACAGGTAATGTATCCCTATGGATTTAAGGTTTTTGCATTGAGCGATATAGTGCATGCTCTCACACATGTTTAATATGCATTGCCTCTCAGGAGCGGGTACAGGGTTGTGAATGTGCTTTTTTTTTAAGTGGAGAGGGCGGGTCTTTTAATAAATTCCAGAAAATCCTCCACTATACCTTTTAAATAACAGCTGAGATGTAGAATCTGTCCATAACTTTACATAGGTAATTGGGGTATTCATAAAATGTTTCGCCATAGTTCATAAAAAAAAAAAAATTTAGTGGAGTAATAATGATCAGAGCTCACTCTGTTTTCCTTGTACATCACCATTCCACCAGCCTTTTTTTAAAACCTTTGGAGTTTAACCCCTTTATTTATTTTTCATATGCAGACATCTCTGCAGAAGAAGCGATCAGAGCTTGCATATAATGCGTGTCTCCTCCCCCAACAACTCCCAAATCAGCTGTTCTGAATGGTTGAAGCCCTGGTGTCCCCCCAGCAAAAGTGCCGATTTCTAAACTCCAGCGTTGAACCTTCCAAAGGCAGGAAGCTCGGATGCCAGAATGCGCCACTCCTGATGCTCGGACATGCCACTGGACCTCTCAATGCCTCCCTCCATAGACTTTGCATTTAAATCGGATGCCTTGACGCCCAAAACGCTTTCAGTGTGAACGCACCAAAAGACATGGCCTGCCCCAAAAGACTTGGTCTTACAAATATATCAATAATCATGCAACACTTCAGACTCTCTACCCTTTATGATTGATCAGTTAAAAAAAGGTTTATTTCTGTAACATGACAAACTGTTAAACAGCTGAAAGGGTTTAAATAGTTTTGCACAGCGCTGTTTTTACTAAGGCTTTATTTAACAGCTATCATCCCAGCCTCCAGTAACAACAGACGGGTGTGACAGCCTGCAATGATCCCAGGAGAGAAAAAGCTAACTGCCAGACCATCAGTCCATCAAAAAATCTAAGACAGCGCCGCGGACAGTGGCTTCTTCCTCTCCAGACAGGCTCTTAAAACCTGTCTGGGGAAATTATAGATCAGACTGGAGTGTCAAATGACTGCTGCTTCTGAAGTATGTGACCTATCTGGCAACAGTTAATGAGGTAGCCAGTGAGCTGAAGGAAGCAATATGCAGGATCTACAGAGAAGGAACATCAAGCAGAGGCAACTACTCCGCCATTAAGCAGAGACGTAGCCAGAATTTTTTTTATAAAGGTGGCCAGGAAATAACCAATGTACACTGAGGGGTGGCCGAAGGTGGATAGGCGCCAGAACCTCAGGGTCAATCTACACTGTTCCAACAGGAAAATTAACAAGCAAAACATCCATATTTTCTAAATAAAGACTAACTATACTGTCCTACAGCCTTTGCTAACACATAGACGTATATACATCTGTAATTTCTAGATAAAAGGTATAGTGTTTAAAACTCAGTTTTCAGTTCTAGTGCATAAATCTTTTCCATTGTCATTACTTACCTACTTGTATCAGTAAACATTCTGCATAAAATAAATATTTACAGGCATTAGTATCTACATAAATTGATTTTTTGATAAGTTTGCATTCAAATTGTTACTTATCTTTGATTTCACTGAAGACTCAGATGACTTGCAGAGACACAACTTTCTCATTACTCCATATAGGACAAAATTTAGTTTTGAAAAGAGCATGAATTCGGTATTAATGTGTATAATAAACACGAAAAAACATCTGTATTAAAGGGAAAAAGGGTAGGGGTGGCGAATGATTGGCTAAGGGTGGCCATGGCCACCCCTGGCTCCCCATCTACCTCCACCCCTGCCATTTAGTCACTTTTTTTAGCTGAAAAGCCAAGTGTTGAAGGAGTTGAATGGATCACATTATTTTTTATTTGTTTTCTGATTACTCTTAATTAAAAATAAAGTAGTAAAGTTAATAAGGCTTCAAATTGTTTGTCATTCAGCTCAGCAAGGATGCGAGGATGCATAAGTTCTTATTGGAAAACGTCCCAAAGGCGGTGCAGATTGACAGATTCCTCCGCTGCTGCTGCGGCTGATGCACTCTGACCAAGATGTGGGCTCTTTGGTTTCCTCTACTGTCTGCTTTCAAGCTGTACCTGCTTGGCTTTAAGGTTCTTCTGGCTCAGCTGTTAAACACACCTTTAAAACTACCAGGTTAGTTAATTTCTCTTTTAGTTATTTATTTAAACGTTAGGAAAGTTGGATCCGTTCAGAATTGAGCCATTCCCCTGTAGCGTCGCCCAGAAAGTGAACGGAAGACTCCTAGCTGTTAGCGCTGACTACCGTCGTTAATGCTAATATAGCATGCTAGCTAGGTTAATTAAAAAAAAGGCTAAAAACACGGCTACATAAAATGTTTTGGTTGTTTTTTTTTTAGCCGAATTTGCCGGGTTAGCATTCTTAATACATCAAGCGTCAAAGTTTGTGCTCGGAAGTGTTATTATTTATTCCAGAATAATTCAAATTTTAATAGTGGCTTTTTGTAACGCAGTTCGGTTCGGAATAACAGTTGTTTTTGACGAACTCGCCCAAAGTGCTTAGCATAAATCAGGGTTGGTCAATGCAATTACTCAGTTGTGAAATTTCTCACTGATATCAGCATTTATTCTCTTTTGTTTTTTTGAATTTGAGAATTTACCTTTACTGATGAATAGGTTTGTTGTAAATCTGCATTAAACACATCGCGAGTTTAAATAAAATATGTTATTTAGCCTTTCATTTCATTCAATTGGCAGGATTACATTATGCTAATCATGTTCATGTCAATTCAGTTAATTTCTCTAGTGCCAATTCACAACACATGTCATCTTTAGTCAAATTGATTCAAAGTTTCTATCTAAGGAAAACCAGTTGATTGCATTGACTCCAATGTAATCCTCACACTAAGCATGCTTGTAGCGACAGTGGAGAGTAAAAACTCCCTTTTAACAGGAAGAAACCCCCCCGCAGAACCAGGCTCAGTGTGAGCGGCCATCTGCCGAGGCCGACTGGGATTCAAGGAGACAGAAGCAGAGATACAAAAAGCAACTGTAAAAGGCGGCCTCATCCCGGAAACATATCCAGGCAGACGAGCTCTGAGCCAACTCCTGTCTCAGAGGATGAAGAGAGCGCATCCAGCCAGTCACAGTCAGAGAAACAGGACTACACTGGAAAACAGGCCAATCTCCAACATCTATAAACAAATGTGTTGATGGAAGCGGCACAGCTGATTTTTCTCTCCAGGGTGGAGCACAGCCAAACAGGAACAAATGAGGCAAAGCTAGTATGAGGAAAAAGCAGAGAGGGCAGAACGTTGGAGATTGAACTAACAGATTCTACAGAGTGGGAGAATAAAGACAGAATGATGAAATAGGGGTCCCTATGTCCTCCAGAAGTCTAAGCCTATTGCAGCATAACTATAGAGATAGCTCAGGATGTCTAATGGATTAGTCTAATGGATTGATACCAACTAAAGGTAGTATATTAGGTACTACCTACAGTGTTTAGGCATTACATCTAAATTGTAGTATTCAACAAAAAAATGTATCCAAGCAATAATATTGCACACAATGGTGTTTTATTTGAATACTCTTAAATTATTTAATTTAAAATAGATTATGGCACCTGGCTGTAAGTTATGGATTTTGCCTCTTAAATATTTTTGAACACCAGCGGTGGGTTTTACAGTTTATCAACAGCGTAGGCTAATTATAATGAATTGTTATGTGAAATTAAATTGTCTCTGACATCTGTGTCCTCTCCTGACTCCAGTGATGCCCAGACAAGATGGCAAGGTTGCCATAGTGACAGGAGGTGGCAGGGGAATCGGCTATGAGGTTGTCCGGCACCTGGCCAGACTGGGAGCACATGTTATTATAGGTACAGTATCAAGTTCCTTATCAACGATCAGCAAACACAACCGAAGAGATAAACACATATTATGAAGAGAGATTTTCCCAGATTAGCAATTAAAATTCTTGCTTCTTAACGAAATATATATTTTTAATGAAGACCTTGATACATTTATATACCAAAAAACTGTTATTAATTAATGGAACAAAAAAAAACAATTGAAAAATTGATGGCTTAAGTATACTGAGAAATATTTTCGTACAGTATTTTCATAGTCATATTGTTGGCTATGCCTTTTTCCTTTTGGGAAGCATTGAAACTTGAAGGTGTTTATAGTTCTAATCTCAGAAAAAAAAAATATAAAAGCACAATAAACGTAAATATTTTAGAATTTCTCTAGATGTTGACTTTGCAACTCATCTATTATTGGAAATGTGACTTCCTAACCCCCAGACGATAAGAGAATCTTTTACTAAATGCGGAAGTGAGGATAAATTAACCATGTCTAATTATAAAGGATGCTGGGAAAGCTCTTGATTACTGCAAAAAACACAATCTTACTCACTACAGAATGAGTAAATTGCTGTCAACATGCCTAATGCACCATGCAGCAACCTTAAACAATCTTGTTGTGAAGCACAAAAGTAAAAATGAAAATAAAAAAATGGAAAATGTAAGCTGTTTTTTTGTTATTTTTTTATTTCCAAATCAGAAGTTGAATGTTTCAGTTTCACATTTTTTTATGGAATATCCTTTTACTGCTCATCTTCTGCTCATCTGGATTGCAGTGGGGCAGCAGTCTATAAAGGCTTCCCTGTTTCCAGACACCTCCTCCAGCTTCTCTGGAACATTGTTTTGCTACTAAATTAGAAAAATCTGCCTTAAAAAAAGCTTTGGTGCATCATCCAAGAGCACCTTTACTGATTTGCTCATATTTACCAAAATCTCGGCATTCTTTCCAAACTTAAGGACTTAAAACAAACCACACAACAACAAAAATAAAACCTCAAAAATAAACTATTAAATCTCAAACCATTGAACAAGCCACAAGTGAATAAAGTGACTGTGAGAAAAACGGCTCGCCAGCTCTCGTCTCACGTCAGAGGAGGAGTAAGCAGATGACTTGCAAAAATTAAATGGTAAGAACCAGCGGACGACAAAATTCCAGTTAAAAAGCGTGTAGCAATTTATTTACTGGCGATGGTGAAGACAAAAAAAAAACAAAACAAACAAAATACTTTCAAATAAAGAAAACAAAACCGGCCATTGCAGGCAATACAAAAAACTGACAGCCTCTCAGCAAGCTGACATTAAATAAAGTTTTTTTAAAGCAGACCTTCCAAAGGAGTTTCTCCAACCAGCCCTCCAAGCAGTCCCTCAAGCAGCCCTCTAAGCAGCCCTCCCAAGACATTGTGAGTATGCCCCTTAAATAGACCCACCAATAATTAACCAATTGGGACAGCCCAACTGAACAGGAAGGCAAATCCCAAATAAACCACAGTTAACATTATAGAAAAATAAATACAGACAATATCATCATTCATACAAAAACATACATATTTATGAAATAATTTAACCATACAAACATTACCATTTCACCTACTTATTATCATGCAAACAATTATCAGACACACTGAAATCCCACTTAACACCCCTGCCCCCTAATAGTCTTTTCCAATGCCCTGGGACAATGAATAAGAGACTGGCTCCGATGCGGTACGTGTTTCCACACGGACCAGTATTCTGACGGACTAAGGGAAGAGAAAGTGTAACTTGACTGGGAAGTTTTATTGCCGACTACGGAATGTATACTGATGCTGACGCAGTGGATACTTTCAGAGTTCGCTATGTTGGTGAGTAAGTAAAATGTTAAATGAAAGGTGACGTTGTAATTGCAGAACTAGTGTAAATTACCGGGTGAAATGTTTGGATCGGCCGCCGCCATGATGGCCGGTCTGTGGTGCATGCTGGGAAATGTAGTGAAGGATGCGACGCTGTATGTGATAGACGGCGGTTATACTTTAATAACAGAGGGGGAAAACGGCTCCGTTTTCACATTTCCTCCCCCTTCTGAAGTCTTGACACAGGGGTGGCGAGACAGGAAATCCGCTACAGGGTTCAGCTTCCCCGCCCTGTACTGAATTTTAAACCGAAATGGCTGTAAAGACAAAAACCATCTTGTAATGCGAGCATTGGAGTCTTTCATTTTCCCCAACCATTGGAGTGCCCTATGGTCAGTCTCAAGCAGAAAGTCTCTTCCTAACAGGTAATATCTGAAAGACTCAAGAGCCCATTTCACAGCTAGGCACTCTAGCTCCACCACAGAATACCTGGTCTCCCGAGGAAATAGTTTGCGGCTGATATAAGCCACAGGCTTCTGCTGTTCATCCTCCCCCTGGAGAAGGACCGCCCCCAGCCCAACTCCAGAGGCATCAGTCTGCACAACAAAAGGTTTCTCAAAGTCTGGACTCTGCAGCACCGGCTCACAGAGTAATGCTGCCTTCAAGTCTTGGAAAGCCTGTTCATGCACCTCCTCCCACTTCACCCTTACTGACCCCGACTTCCGGGTCAGGTCAGAGAGAGGTGCAGCCCGGGTAGCAAAGTTCGGGACAAATCTCCGGTACCACCCAGCCAGCCCCAAGAAAGACCGTATCTCCTTTTTGGTCTGGGGTTGTGGGCAGTCTCGGATAGCCTCCAACTTGTCCTTTTGAGGTTTGATTACCCCACTGCCGATGATGTGTCCCAGATACCGGACCTCCGTCTGGGCTAGGGCACATTTCTTTGGCTGGATCGTCAGTCCAGCTGCGTGAATGCGCTTCAGAATCTCGGCCAGGTGTTGAATATGGTCTTGCCAGGTGGCACTGTAAATCACCACATCGTCCAAATAGGCTGCAGCGTAGGCTCCAGTGCCCTCCAAGACTTGGTCCATCAGCCGTTGGAAAGTGGCTGGTGCTCCCTGTAGGCCAAAAGGCATAACAGTAAATTGATAAAGACCTTGAGGGGTACGGAAGGCCGTGTATGGTCTGGCTCCCTCCGCCAACGGTACCTGCCAGTACCCCTTACAGAGATCAAGGGTTGTGATGAACTGCGCCCTCCCAAGGCGCTCGATAAGGTCCTCCAGCCTCGGCATTGGGTATGCATCGAAGTAAGACTGAGCATTAACTTGCCTGAAGTCAATGCAAAAACGGATGCTCCCATCCTTCTTCGGCACGAGCACAATGGGACTACTCCAACCACTGCTGGAACGCTCGATGACCCCAAGCTGCTTCATGTCCTCCAGCTCCTGCTGGAGGGCCGGCAACAAGCGCTCAGGGATACGATACATCCGCTGCCTCACCGGAGTGGAGTCTTTCAGCGGGATGTCATGGTCCACCAATGAAGTGTGACCCGGCTGCTCGGAAAACAGACCTGCAGGTATGACAGCCTGCACTTCCTTGGCCTGCTGAGCAGTCAGGTGTGAAAGGTCTGGTTCAGTGGGGGAAACAGCAGCTGGAAAGAACTGCTCTGGTGGATCCTCATCCTCCTGCACTGCTTGTACCATCAGCTGTTGGCTGACAGGTGGCTCCCGTCCGTGCCACTCTTTGAGAAGGTTGACATGGTAGGCCTGTCGAGTCTTCCGCCTCCCCGGCATCTCCAACTCGTAAGTCACTGGGCCCAGTTGACGTGTAATCCTGTACGGCCCTTGCCAACGGGCAAGGAGCTTGTTCTCCGTTGTCGGCAACAGCAACAGGACCTGCTGCCCCGGTGAAAAAGTTCTCTGGCGTGCAGACTTGTCATACCACCGTGCTTGGGTCTCCTGCGCCTGCTGCATATTCTCCTCCACCAAGGAGGCCATCTCCTCCAGCTTGTCCCGCATCCTAAGGACATAGGAGAGGACGCCGTCTGCTGCTTCCGGTTGAGGTGCCACCCAGGCATCTCGCAATAAATCCAGAGGGCCCCGGACATGGCGCCCGTACAACAGTTCAAAGGGCGAGAACCCCGTGGAGGCCTGGGGAACCTCCCTGTAGGCAAAAAGCAGGTACGGCAACCACTGGTCCCAGTCTTTGCCATTCAGAGCAACAAACTTTTTGAGCATGCTCTTCAGTGTGCGGTTGTATCTCTCAACCAACCCATCAGTCTGGGGGTGGTAGGGAGTAGTCCGTATCCCCTTTATCCCCAGTAAGCTATAGACCTGTTTAAGTGTCTTTGATAGAAATGCAGTGCCCTGATCTGTAATTATCTCCTGAGGTATGCCTACCCTAGAGATCAGCTGGAGTAAGGCACGGGCAACAGCAACGGCTGTGATTTTGCGCAAGGGGAAGGCTTCTGGGTAGCGGGTAGCATAATCACACACAACAAGGATGAACCGGTGACCTGACCTTGTTCTCTCCAGGGGACCAACGATATCCATCCCTATTCTATGGAATGGGACACCAATAATGGGGAGAGACTTAAGTGGGGAAGGCCTAACTTTATGGCTGCTGGTCAGTTGACAGATGGGACATGACTTGCAATACTTCAGGACATCAGTATATAACCCTGGCCAGTAGAATCGCCGTGCTATCCTCTCAAAGGTCTTGACATTACCCAAATGTCCTGCTAAGGGAACATCATGACCTAGGGCCAGCACTTTCCCCCTCAGACACTGTGGCACTACCACCTGCTCTATACTGCCCCCCTCAAGTTGATGAAAAAGCAAACCATGCCTGATAAAATAATCCTCCCCATACAAAGCAGTGGCTATCCCATTCTTTTCCCCTTCAGTTTCTGTTGCTTTACTGAAAAGCTCCTTTAATGACTCATCTTCCCTCTGCAGATCCCTAATGTTACTTGGGGGCTCCCACATGTCTGCTTTATCAACTTCTGGAACTGGCAACTGCTCTGCCATTTTCTGAACTGATCCCAATAGCTTTTCCCTTCTTCTCTGTCTGCGGCCTTTGTGTAACTTCTCATGCTCAGGGAAGTCTATGTCAGTGTGGCTAAAAGGCATAGTTTCTATCAGGGCTCGGGCAGTAACCTCTTCTAGAAACTCTTTCTGCTGAGCCTTG